ATAGTATGCATATGCTTGGTGCATGTTGTTTTGTGTAGCTGTGAATCTTGGCTTCAAAAAAGCAGAACTTTATAAAACAGAATAGAAATATGTATAAATACGAGCTTACCTGCATTAACTTTTGGTCCGAGCTTCACCTCAACTGTAGGAAGAGTTAAAACAAACAGTGTTACACATTGGATTAAAACATCCCGTATTACGTTCACCTTCTATAATGAGCGACACAACAGCAAGATCACATTCTGTTTAGTTACATGGAGAATTATATATGTGTTTTTATTTTATTTCTTTTGGAAAAGAGCAACGTAAGATTAAACATATTCTGTATATATCTATAGTTAGTTAAAATATCAAGTAAGCCTGTCATGATAACAAATTGTGCTGGGCGATTGTCTCAGAAATTATTGCAATAAAGATAATGTTTGAAATTTGACAATAATAAGTAATTATTGTCAAATTTAAGAATAAATGTTGGTAATTAGTTTTGTGTGTAGTACCTTTTTTGACCACTCGATGGCAGTATGAAACTGTTTGAACTGAAGGATGGATAGTGAGGGAGCGAGCAGCATGTCTGTTTAAGAAAATGGGAGGGATGACCCCTTGATGTGACATGGGCTGTCTCTCGTTAATGTTTTTCGGTTCTCAAATGGGTGGACGTTTGGTATGGTTTGAGCTCTTTAACATAGCATTCGTCACACAAAACTTTTAATTAAAAAAACAATAAACAAGTTGGCAGCTTCTTTTTGCAGAGAAAAATAACTTTTTAGATGAAGGCACGGGTTTCAACCGTGATTTTTTGGAGTTTTGACAAGACAGAGATTTTTTCCCCCCGAGGTCGTCCTGTTAGCTTAGCTCGTAGCTTAGCTTCTCAGCTTAACTGCTTTTAACGACCCAAAAAATGCGGTTAAAATGGATTTTAAAGAAAAGAAAAAGGGAAGCATCAGTGAAGAACACCGGAGGTGAGCCTTTTTATCATCCAGTGTCTTCAGTAGAAAGAGAGAGAGAGACACGAAAAAAAATGATAAAGCTGATAAATGAAAAAGAGGTCAATAATTTTAATTTATCGTGTGATTAATTTATTTATTGTTTATCGCAACAGGGCAAATGTAAAGAGATCATTTCTTATCAGGTTATAAAATACCAAGAATGTGGCACAAACAGATGCTTTGTCTTTTAGGAACTAATCACATTTACATTTACATAACTGCATCAGATCATAGTCTTTGTTTAAACACAATATGAGGAGGACCAATCATTTCAAAAAGATTTTAGCTAAATAAACTTGAAACAACCATTGGTACTTTTGTTGTATCTAAAACTTCTTACACAAAACCCTCCTGGGAATTCCCCTGTCACACGTGAACATGACAAAGTTACCAGAATCCGGATATGATCGCTTGCCACTGTGTCTCAGACGATATGAAGTTGTTTGATTTATCTGTGATCTAGCAATAGAAAATACTCCAGAGTGGTGACTAGGAGAGGTACATACCATACATACAGAACACACACAAAAAAAGTATGAAAATTACAGTTCTTTTTTTTTTTTGCCTGAAGGTAGTGTTAGCAGACAAGCTTGACAAATTATAGATCAGGATGACTGTTCTTGAAATGACATTGATGTATGTACTTTATCGTACATGCAACAGTTACTTAATTGCGAGATTGAAAAAAATGCAAGCAATCAGGAAAAGGGGGTAAGCTGTAAACGTTCCTCACTGTACATTCATCAGACAATTATCTAATCTGGGTAAACACATGGGACTAAACAGACATTATCTGGATTTTATTCTGGGGAAAATTTGACTGTGGTCTGTTGCTGCTTTTGTTGTGTTAACCAAAACTCCAGGAGATTATCAGTCAGATTCTCTGAAGGATTTGGAAAACTGCTGGGGGTAGATTTTTCTCATGTAAAACAAACTCAAAGGATGAAACATTCACTAGTATTACTCCATCAGTTATGCATAGAAGCTATGTTGTTTCTAATGCTCTTGATACAACTTTCCTATAAGAAAGTATTTGCTTCTTATTAGAATAAAGTCTGAATATCGTTAGCATCAGCAGGGAAGTGTGCATTGTTGGATTTAGCTGTGTAACTTCCAAAGAAGCTTTCAGAGAAAGGCGTGTTGTTGTCAAAGTCCTGTGGAAAAATCAAACCTTCTAGAAAGATTACTTCCTTCTTAAACTGGAGATGGGGAAGAGGGGATATTTTACAAACAAGTTTTAACAGTTTTCACGCATAAATGACATGAATACATATTGTCAGATTACAAATTTACAGTTTCAGCCTTTTCTTTGAGTTTGTGGCCTTAACTCAACAAATTAAGGAGCAGCTGGAATCTTCTAGAATTTGCAAGACCACAATCCCAAAAGAAGCAATACTCCCAGTCTCCAAACCATCTGTTTGTGGCAGAAATACAAAAGTTTGGACTTATTGTCTCCATACTGGCATTTAAAAACTGGTTTTAGGATTGACCCCAGCCAATAATGGCAGGTCCCATTTTCGGAGAATTGTCAGACATTGGTCAAGATTTGCCTGAGACTCTGAAACTTTTGATAAATGCTGCATCCGATATCTAACTGTCTGTCTATGTGTATGTGTGCACATGTGTGTGTTTTAAAGGCCTGTCCTTTCCAAAAGTATTTTTATAGACACTAAACCATCTGGCACATCCAGTTAGGACAGATCCTGTTTGCCAAACTGTAACTTCATAGAGCCGTGAGCTACTGTTGTTCAATGTCTCTCTGTCATTATCCATCAGAACAGGGAGGAATACATGCCGTTACATTTGTTCATACAACACGTTTCCATTCAGCAGCACAACCGACTGCATTTTCTAAACAGACCGACTCCTTCTGAGTAAAACTGTTATTACTTAAATATAAGCGAGTAACTTCTTGGAGTCATTTTCTTATTTTATCTTGGGGTGCTGAATAACTTTTGATTAGTCAGTATCTTATCATTCAACCTTTATTTATACAAGTTAATCCCATTGAGCCTCGGGAACTCATTTACAAGAGAGACCTGGATCAGCAGCAGGCAGAGTATAAATACACAAAAAGCCTGATCAGTGATAAAAGTCATAGTTATTCATAATGGTATCAACAAAATAAACATTTAAAACAACTCAAACCTAAACGTTTAAAATGGTAGATGCTATTGTTTGTACTTTTATAGTACATTACAATTGTTTAGAGAGTTGGTTATTTAGTTTCAATTATCTCACATAAACAACGTTTAATACTAATTATTCATAATTACATGTACTGTACTGTACCCGTGACCCAAAATGGAAGAAGCGGGTAAAAGATAATGGATGGATGTACTGTATATATGTACTGAACCCCATACAGTTTGCTGCACAGAGCCTACACGCACCTGGACAGGGCAGGCATCAATATAAGAGTCATGTTCTTTGACTTCAGTGCTTTTAACACCATAAGACCTGGTCTACTCTGCAGTAAGCTCCAGGACATGCAGGTGAATGACTCGCTGGCCACCTGGATCAGAGACTACCTCACAGGTCGACGACAGTATGGGAGGCTGCAGAACACCACCTCAGACACCATACTGAGCAGCACAGGGGCTCCTCAGAGGACGGTCCTCTCACTGTTTCTGTTCACAGTCTACACCTCGGACTTCAGGTACAACTCACAATCCTGCCATCTGCAGAAGTTCTTGATGACTCTGCCATTGTGGGCTGCATCACTGGTGACCAGGAAGCTGAATACAGAGGTGTGGTAGACAGAACCACCTACATACAACTCAACGCTGGAAAAACTAAAGAGCTGCAGGTGGACTACAGAAAGAAGATCCCCTCCCCAACTCTATCAACATCAAGGGGACTAAGGTGGAGATTGTGGACTGATACAAGTACCTGGGGGTCCACCTAACTGGACTGGAAAGCTAACATCAATGCTCTCTACAAGAAAGCGCAGAATCGCCTTTTTCATCTGAGGAGACTCGGGTCCTTTAACGTCCTTTAACGTCTGCAGGACCATGCTGCAGATGTTTTACCACTCGGTGGTCTCCAGCATCTTCTTCTATACTGTGGTGTTCTGGGGCAGCAGGGTGAAGAAAGCTGATGCCAACAGACTTGATAAACTCATCAAGAGAGCTGGCTCAGTTCTGGGAGTGGACCTGCAGTCTCTGACAGAGGTGTCTGAGCAGAGGATGCTGAGGAAACTGCTCCAGATCCTGAACAACATGTCACACCCCCTGCATGACGCCCTGGCCTCTTACCGCAACACATTCAGTCGTAGACTGAGACCTGAGGTGCTCCACAGAACGCCATAGGAAGTCCTTCCTCCCTGTGACTATCAAACTTTTCAACTCCTCCCCCTTTCTACACATAGGACAATAAAATTAATCCTGCGCTACAATAAACATTTTAATGTTTCTGTCTGCACCTGACATGTTTTAGACCTTAATTGTTGGTATTTTTATATTCTCTGTTATTTTGTATATTGTCTGTTGTTCTTTTATATCTTGTGTGATTCCATGTGTTACTCTGACAACAATTTCCTGCAGGATCAACAAAGTTCTATCTTGTCTTTCTTACCACAACCAAACTTGAGACCATATAAAACAAACATTAACTATTACTTTAAAGGCTGGCCTTCAATAATAACCTTTAATGTTTGTAATTCTTTATTGTCACATTTTCAAAGGTAACAGTGGTGATTAACAATCAAATTTAAATAAAGACTCAGAAGGTTATTAAAGTTTTTGAACAAGTTTGATTGTCTGAAGTTTGGCCATTAGTCAAATGCTTTTTTTTAACATTGCCATAGAAGCGCCGTTTTTCTGAAAGACAGCTAACAAAGGGATTCCCCTTGTTTCCAAGCACAAAGCACTTTATGACAAATGATGCAACGTATTCAGGAGTAACTGGATACAAACACTGGTGACCTTATTTTAATGTGCGGTTCTCGTGTCGCCAGCAGGAAATCTATCTGGACCAATGATAGTTTTACAGCTCTTGTATCAGCAGCTGAAGTTTGATTATATTGGTCAAACATTTAGTTTAGATTTTTTTTTTTTAATGAAAGAACCTCAAAAAAGGAAAAGACCTAAAACCCAGCCACACTTTTTTTTTTTGCCTCATCTGGCGAACATCTCCAATACATGTAATAATAAAACCCACCAAACTCAGCATGAATTCCTTTATTTTGTAACTGTCTTTTTTAAAATGTAAAATTAAATTAAACTAAATACATATGTTTATTAAAATAATGGACATTTTGTTTGAATGCCTATGGGTATTGCCATCTAAATTTCAAAATTTGGGGTGGACCCATATTTTTCCTCAACATGTGTGGTCCAATGTGTACAAATCTCACCTTCAGACTCCAGAATAAATGGAAGTGTTGTTTGCTCATCTTTGGGTTCAGGTGTGGTTTTCTCATCTCCTCCAATCTATTGAAGACACACCATACAAACATAAACACGAATAAAATGTTACCTCATGTGATAAAGCAACCTCCAATTAAATGCTTGTTGGAGTTTCTTGAATGGCTACTGACCGTTTCTTGATCAGTGGGTACCACAGTGGTTAAGAGAACTTCCTTCTCTGCATTTTGTGTTGTCTGCACAAGTTCTGCATCAACGACACCTGAACCAGCACCTAGTCATGGAAAGGGGAGTTTTAGGAGATTTAAAATACTGTTGACCTCAAATTGACCTAAACATTTTATAGCATTAAGAATAAAAAAAAAAAAAAAGTTTTAGGTACCTATTGTTGACAAAATTAGGCTTAGAAATGGTCAAACATTTTGTGGTAAAGAGATTTTGGAGTGCAGGTCTGATACTAAGCGGGGCCTTAGCAAGATCTATACACTGCTCATACCATGAGACCAGTCTGGACTCCCTTAACTGAAATGGGAAACAGACTTGGATGAATACAAATCAGACTCAATCTGGAGGAGGATCATTGAGAACATTTACTCATCTTCAATCTGTCTGAGACATGCTGTAATTCAATTCAAGGTAGTGCACTGTGGCTGCACTGGTCCAAAGACAAGAAGTCCAAGATCAAAGTTGACCTGGACCCCGCATGTAATCGCTGTAAACAAACTCCAGCTATGCTCTTACACACATTCTGATCTTGTCTCAAACTGCAGACCTATTGGCAATCTATTTTTGATACCTACTCTGGGATATGTGGAAAAACTGGACACCCATCACTCATCTTACTGTGTGGAGTGGTCCCTGTGGATATGTCCTTCAGTAAGTATGAGAGGGATGTGACTGCTTTTGGCTCTCTTCTAGCCAGAAGACTTGTTTTGTGCAGATGGAAGGATCCACACACCCCAGCATTTGTTCACTGGATTAAAAAAAGTTATGTATCATGTTCATCTAGAAAAAATAAATAAAATAGATATACCCTGAAAGGTTCTGTTAAGAAATTTTGCGACACATGGCAGCCTTTTGTGTTGTATGTGGAAAACATGTCAATGCCTGTTTCAGACATTTATGTATGTGTGGCTGATCTGGTGTGGGTGGGGTGGGGTGGGAGGGTTTTGTTACGCTCTTTTTCCTTTTTTTCTTTTTTTGTGTCTGTTCAAAAAACAAAAAAGCTCACTAAAAAGACTTTGATTTAAAAAAAAAAAGGTCAGTCATCAAAAATAGTTATGTTTGGTTGTTATTTTGATTACCTTGTGTTGTTAGAATTGTCTCTGCCCCAGTCGTCAAAATTAGTGAGTCAGGAGTTGGAGGCTCTGTTTCTGTGTCTCCTTCTGAGGGCATTGGTTCGAGCTCTGGTGCAGGAGTTGTTTCTGCATCTTTGGGTAAATCTGCTTCAGGATCTGCTGCAGGGGTTACTGCTTCTGGGTCTTCTTCTACGGAGGCTTCTGTTGCTTCATTTGAACCTTCCCCGTCTCCTCCTGCCTCTGTTGGTTCTTCATCCGCTGAAGGAGGGTCTTCTGGATCTGAAGGCGCAGAAGGCTCGACTTCATCTACACTGGCTTCAGGACCAGCTTCTGGCTCTGGCTCTGGCTCTGGCTCACCCTCATCTTGTGGTGCTTCCTGTATTTAACAAAAAAAAAAATTGTACAACTAGAGACAGATATTAAAAGTGTAAATCTGCTTCACAACTTTGTCTGGTTAAACTGTGGAAAATTGTTTGTGTGGTAAAAAAAAGTTCTAACAATCATGTCTGACACTGGGATCAATGCAGTCACATAAACTGGTTTGATGATCCAACAGCGATCCTCAGTCCTGGTCCTCAAGGGCCACTATCCTGCATGTTTTAGATGTTTCTCTGCTTCAACATGCCTGATGTGAATGAATGAGTGATTAATAGGCTTCTGAAAAACTCGAAGACCTGCTGAAGAGCAGGGGAATAACTAATAGCATGTAGAGTAGTGGCCCTCGAGGAGCAGGACTGAGGACCGCAGGGTTTCAAAAGACTCGTGAATAATCAGACAGGAGAGATAGAAGTCAGATTAGTTTGTGGCAAAACATGTTTTTTTTCTTCTTCTTTTAACATTTTGTTAATGATCTCATCTTGACTCGTTAGCCAAAGATTGTGTCCTCCACTTGGAATGTCTTCTGCCATTCAGAATATCGATCAGCTGTTGTTTGATGCGAGCAAAATGTTGCAGCATCACATTAAACTCACAATTCTGAACTATGTCGCTAAGAGCTGTGAGCTCACTGGGCATATAACTCTGTCCATTAAATCTCTGATGACAACTTGGTTTATTGTGAATTTATGATCTTAGACTTATGAGAAAAAAAAAATCTAAACAAGTTAACAATAAATAAAATTATTAACGCAAAATAATCAATAATTCAATTCAGTTCAGCTTATTTATATAGTGCCAAGTCACAACAGAAGTCATCTCAGAGCACTGAACAGAAACATTCATGTATAAAAATAATAATTTAACATTATTTATCGGAGGAGCAGACTGTTTTGAGTTTGACTCCATCACAGAACTCTCATTTTGAGCAAGCATGAAGGCGACAGTGGAAAGGAAACACTCTGCAATGAGGAAGAAACCTTTAGCAGAACCAGGCTCAAGTCAAGCAGCCATCTGCTTTGACCGGCTGGGTTTGGTAGGAACAGATGCACAATGGCAGGTCAAGAATCAAATGTTAAGATAAAATAGTATCAAATGAAAACTATTCAATTTTAACAATTCATTTAAGGAAATGAGATCAATTTGCCCTCCAGTAGTCTATGGCAGCATAACAAGCCAACCCTCACTATAGGATTTATCAAAAAGGAAAGTCTTAATCCCAGTCTTAAAACTGGGCAATGTGTCATCCCTACATACAGAAACTGGAAGTTGGTTCCACAAGAGAGGAGCCTGATAACTGAAAGATCTTCCTCCCATTCTGTTTTTGGAAACTCTAGGAACCACGAGTAAACCTGCAGTTTGAGAGTGAAGTGCTCTGTTAGTAAAATATGGAACAATACAAGATGGAGCTAGGTTGTTGAGAGCTTTGTAGGTTGGAAGTAAGATTTTAAATTAAATTCTGAATTTGACATAATTCAAATAATAATAATAAAATAATCTATAAAGTAATACATAAAAATAAATATATGTTTATGACTTACAGTAGCTGCAATTTCATCCTCGGCGCCAGCATCAGGGTCTCCTTCGACCGCTGCTTCTTCTGGTACGACATCCAGTGCTTCTTCAGCCGCATCATCTGTGGTAACATCATGACGACAAAGTTGTGAAGAAAAATGGAGCTTCCATTATTGAAAAGTACAAACATACAAGAAGAGCTACTCACAAAAACTCAATCGTTGTAGAAGCAAAAGGAGGAAGACCACATAACTCTTTTATTCATAGTGAACAAACTAAAAGCAGAAATTACAATTTATTTTGATATAGCATTTTATGTTGAGTTCCTATTACTTTCTAACACGACACACACATGCTTTGAGCCACACCCTGTCCTTGACTGATCCCTGATGTTACGATAACGTCAATCCCATCGGACCTGCGCCAGCATTAAATGAAGCCTCGGCCTGTGTTGCAGCTCCACACTAATGAAAAAGTAAAATGAAGCAGGTGTGCACTTCTTCATTGTGTGTTGGAAGTGTGTGTTAGCTGAGTGTGCTTGAGATGCTGCTGAGACATTCCCCTGTTTCACGTGAGTGCTCTTTAAGATGAGTTCAGCAGCCTTGTTCCAGATCATTCAGTGCCCCCCCCCCCCCCTTAAAATGTTGTAAATACTTTCACTTGACTAAAACACTTAGAGTTTAATGTTGTTGCTCTTTTTCTGCGTGGACTTTTCTGTTAATGGGTAGAAAAAGTGTGAGAACAGGTGGGAACGAGGCCAAAACGCCTCCAAGAGGAGAAAATTAAAATCGTTTCGTTATCGGAAGGTAGCAGATGCTCAATACTGTTTTTGTTTTTTTTAATTAGTCTGGCATAAAAAATGTGTTTTTATCCACAATTACTACATTCAGAGCTGAGTGAATACTCAAAGGGACACTCTGGTTGCCAAGTGAGATCGTATCAGAGTTAGTGAAGCCTCGAGGGAAACCAGCATGAACAGTATCTAAAGTATTTCTATCTCACCATAAATCCTCTGCAAGGCTAAATGCACTGGTGACACCCCGATGCTTAATTCTCAGAAACATCTTTACAAAGGAAAAAAACCAAAACATGCACACATTTCACATGAGAGTGACTCTCCACTCATCCACACACAAACATGCATATGCTGGCACACAGCTGCGCGGTGACTGACGTTAATTTAATAAGGCGCCCTTTGATCCACTCACTTCCTGTCTCGTTTTTAAGCTAAGTGTCACTCCACCTTTGCATCCAAGCTAAACATTAGTGAGAGCCCTTAATGAATCACACCGAGTCAGGCACGAATGGGTGTGCCTGAATCAACTTCTTCATAACTTTTGTGGAATTCATCGCCTTAATCAAAGTCGTACTGTGGCGTGCGTTTCCACACAACGAGATGGAGCGACGTTAAGATGAACTAGATGTGATTTGGCGCTCTGCAGATTGAAGATTAGTGACAGAGACCGAGTTAAGCTTCGAAACGTGTGAACCAAAACTGGTCACGTCAGAGTGGGATTTCTGCTGATGTGCGTCCGTGAGTGGCAACACATGTAGCTCGTTGGAACGGCAGTGAATGTGGAAACCAGTGGGGATGTTTTCTCACAGACTTGCACTTACATGCATGCGATTGGGGAGGGAGGTAATGTTGAGCTCATGCAACTCCTCCAGCTCTGTGTGAGTGCGTGAAGGCCTGTACAAGCTCAGGGAGGAAAACTCCTCCTGCATGCAAACTCTTTCTGTTGCTCCATGGAACATTCTGTTCTCATTTATTGCTTAAGCTAACTTTACTACTAGCACACAAACATGCACGGTTATAAACTCATCGAGCTCCGTCTCCTTCACTTCTAACATGAAAACAACAGCGTTTGCACACAAGTTTGCATTCCCTCTCGGAGGAAGTGGCGTCCTGTTTTGCATTAACGCAGCAGTGAAAGCCCCTCTCCCTCCTTCCTTTCCTTTTTCTTTCACCTTGTTTTTTCAGTTTCTACTTTAACTTTTTTTTGCTCCCTTTCTTTCATTGCCACAACTTTCCCCTGAGGCTGATGAGTCATCTGTGTCTCTAACATGACTGCATGCTTTTGTACGCAAACGCACATCTCGGCGCTGCTAAACAGTTAAAAGGGTCCCCTGAGGCCAAACTCCTAAGTTAAACCATGTGACTCTTCCATACAGACTGTGGAGCTGACCATGTGATTCGCAGTCAAACACACTGTGCTTTTTATGATCGGCAAACACTTTGATCAAATAAACACAGAGCCTTCTGAGCTGAGCAGTTTTTGTAACATTTTGAGGAGAAATCAGCAGCCAGTGAGCCCAAACTGGAAACAATGGCCGCCTCAGATGGATCACGTCTGCCCATCAGCTCTCTGACGACCGCTTCCCATCTCTTTAGTTGGTACACAAACCAAAGGGCAAGCTTAGGATGTTGAAATTAATCTGTCGAGATTTTTCCAAATTAAAGTTCAGTGGGTAGAATGTAAAACCATCAAGTGGCAAAGTTAGGGAAACTGCGCCTTGCTGGTTTTGGGCCAGAGAAGACACGGACCCTGCAACAAAGTGGACAAGGAAGAAAAAGCCCAGTGGGGAAACTGAACTCGCTGCTTCTTTTCAAGTAGAATGTAGGATAAAATTTTCCACAAAGATTTTTGTTAAAATGTATTTTTCAATAAATTCAAGTAATATATTAACTTATTTTGAACCCTTGTTACATGCAATATAAACACTGCTCCAAAAAGCAAATATGTCACCTTTTTTTTTTTAGATATAATATTTGAAATTAAAATCTGATTAATGAAATAATGGATCCCAATTAAGTAATCAACAAACTGGCAGCTCTTGCACTCATCAAATAAATGTTTCAGGGCTTTTTTGATGCCAATGCTGATCAGAAGTAAATAAAGGGTCGACAAAGAGAAAAAGATGCTGGAGGTTGAATCAGGAATGTTTAGAAGCAAACTGGATTATATATGAAACATAATGTCCAGAGGCCAGCCATGTGTGGATGTTACTGTAATTTCTAGGATTATGTTGACTTTTGTCAATAAAAGTTGTAATAATATCAATCATTTTGCTGTCAGGACTCTTTAAGTTATAATAATTTTGGGATTTTTGTTTGATTATTCATGACATTGATTATAAAAACCACATATACTGTATTAAATGGTTCATGAGCCTTAGTATTTTGGGATTTAAACTAGTGTTTTTGTTTTTTTAAACAAAACAAAGGAGTATGGTAAAAAAAAAAAAATTTAAACATTTACACTCAGTGTTTTATTAAACATGGGGGAAAAATCTATGGAAAATGACACTTTTGGGAGATCAGTTACCCGAATATCAATTTAAAAAGGGAACACGAGATTACAAAGATGGTTTTGTTTTGCATTATCATGTTTTACCGTTTACAAATATACTCTCATCTGCCTGTCATGAAGTATTGTTTTAGAGGATTAAAACCAATCTTCCCCTTTTGTTTACTTCCTACCTCTATTCCAACATTTTGCACATTCAGGTCATATGTACATTATAATATTTGATTTGAATTATTTCAATGTAGTATGTTGGGTATTATACTTAATTACCTTCTTAAAACATAAAACAATGGCAAAACTAGGATTGCATTTCTCAGTTATAACAATAAATTGTTTCAACAGACATTCAAATCTGGTTTAGTGAATACTAATACATTGCATGTTTCATATTGTCACAAATGATTAGATTTACACTCTTTATTTGGGCATGTTTTTGTCTCATCCGTTTGCATTTAAAAAATCTTTCATTCATGGGTTGTCTCCGGTGACTATGACAGCCCCCCACCCCCCCAAGACCATAAACATGCATGTGAATTGGTAACTCTTACTCTAAACTGTCCCTGTGCGTGGATGTTACTTATGACTGATTGTCCATCTTGTTTGTCTCTATGTGGCTCTGGGATGGACTGGCAACATGTCCAGAGTGTCCCCCACCTCTTCAATGACCACAGGACAGAGGCACCAGCTCCCACTGACCCTGAGAAGGTTAAAGAAAATGGATGGATCCTGCAACAACCAATGGTATATTGACCTCTTGAATGTTGTGTCTATGGTGGTTTTAAGGTGTAAATGAACAACATTTGAAAAAAAAAAAAAAGAATTACATTTGACAAAACACAACAAAAATAATAAAAACACAACAACATTTGAAAAAAAAAATTTACCTTAAGCCAAAGCGGAAGTGGCCAAAGTGGCAGTGGCCAAAGTAGAAGTAACCGGAATCAAATTTGAAAAAACGGAATTACATTAAGCCAAAGCAGAAGTGGCCAAAGCGGAAGTGGCCAGAATCACATTTGAAATAACAGAATCACATTAAGCCAAACCGGAAGTGGTCATTTTTCAAATGTGACTCCAGCCACTTCCGCTTTGGCTTAATGTATTTTCTTTTTATGTGATTCCGACCACTTCCGGTTTGGCCACTTCTGCTTTGGCTTAATGTAATTCAGTTTTTTTGTTTTGTTTTTCAAATGTGATTCCGGCCACTTCTGGTTTGGCCACTTCCACTTTGGCTTAATGTAATTCTGTTTTTTCATATGTAATTCTGTTTTTTCCAATGTATTTCCATTTTTTCCCAAATGTGATTTCGTCCGCTTCCGCTTTGGCCACTTCCGCTTTGGCCACTTCCACTTTGGCTTAAAGTAATTCCATTTTATCAAACGTAATACCGTTTTTTCAAATTGTTTTCAAATGTTGTTAATTTACACCTTATGGCCACCACAGGTGTCCCAAGTTGCGACCAGTAACTTTTTGTGACTAACATTGAATTAGGGGCCAAGACGTGGTAGGGAATTTGAGTTTGGCCTTTCCCCAGCACTATTTATCTGGCGTACTGAATGGTTTTGTATGTTATTACGTGCATTTAAATAAGAAAGAAGCTGGAAGTGAATACAAACCCTCCAGGCAGCAAACTACCAGAGCTAAGGCGTGTTCTCAAAGCAGAAAAAAAATGAATGGAACTTCATTTTCTCATTCTTATAGTTCCTGCATGATCGTGTGAGATCACCTGAGTGTAACTCGTTCATTCACCTACATACTGTACATGTGATCTCACACCTCAGACTCGCAACTCTTTGTGCAGCCATGTCAGATGACATCTCCACAACATTGTTCTCCCACGTTTGCGTGTGTGCGTGGGTGAAACCCCAAACATGCCCCTATGGGGAGAAAAAGTGAGAGCTGTGTGTGTTTGTGCGCCAGTGTGTTTCACTTACCCACCAAAGGCATGATTTATGTGTCAGCAGTTGAAGGTGTAAACACAGACAAGTCAACGCACACACGGCGCACATCCCTCAGCTCCTTTTATTCACGTGTTTACCTTTCAGACACAACTGTTTTGCAGTCGACTTATTCACACACAAATTCATAAAGCTTTTCTGTACTTCCATATGTTCTGTACATAAAAGCTGCAGCACACTCCACCCTCTCACACACACACTGAGGGCCCTGGAGGAATGGAAGGTGCTGAAACTAGTTGCGTGTTGGGTGTTGTCTACAGCTGGAGCAGGATCTGGTTACGAGCACTCCCTCTCCTCCACGTTCAGAACTCGGCACAAACCGCCACACTGATGTTCTGATAAGCAACTGACCCGGCACCTCATCCCTGCAAAGTGTTGCCGTAAACTCAACGTGCAAGCAAGTCAGTGAACACACCCACAGAGGATTGCAGTGTGTCGGGGCATCAAAGTTTACTGATGGAAAATGGAACATAAAAAAAAGTTGTGATTGTGGGTTAAAAAAAAAAGAGGAAAGAAAATGATTTGTATGGAACAGCATTTGTGCAAATCTGCTACCTCATGGTTTGTCTTCTAAAAAAAAAAAAAAAGAACCAGTAGAGTGAGATTATAATTTACATCCAAGCACGCTAACGCTCAACTGAATGTGTTTGCATAATGATAAAGGCCTTTGCGTTCTTCTTTATTCTATCTCTTTGTGTTCCCTCCCAATAAGCTCTAACATTTAGCCTTTATCTTCCCCCAGCAACTCCCCTCATATTTCCCCTCAGTTTATGTGTTTTTCCTTCTCCATGTGAGGCTTATTGCATATTGGAGCAATCTGAAATCATTGCATGAGCCACAGGGAAGGGCAAAGGCTCATGGACCAGCCAAGGAGGAAGAAGGAGACGGGGAGAGCGCAAAAACGACAAATAAAAGACACCTGGAGGGAGAAAGGAAAGAGACGAGGGCGAGTTAGTCACACAAACGAGAAGCAAGCAGATACAAACGAAAAGATGGAGAGAATTACTGGGTCCACCACCACACCCCTTTCTGGACCAAGACCTGAGAGACACGACCACATTACAGAGCGTGACATATCTCTGTCAGTGATGAAGTCTGAGGTGAAAAGAGACCAATTATGATGAAGATGATAAAGAGCTTTTCACTGAGCCAATCAGACGGTAATTAATACAAGCAGAATGCAGCTGGAACTAAACTGAGGCTGGCAAAAGAGATGAGAGACTGCAGTCACACAGACAGGAGCGAGAAAAGACTAAAAACTGACGAAAGATAGATATATATATAATAGATAGATAGATAGATAGATAGATAGATAGATAGATAGATAGATA